GCCATTACATCATTTTATGGAATTTTCCAAGCTGTTTTAAAGGCACAGTCAACTTAGTGTATGTAAACTTCTGACCCACTGGAATTGTGATACAGATAATTATAAGTGAATCTGTCTGTAAACAATTGTTGGAAAAATTACTTGTTTAATGCACAAAGTAGATGTCCTAACCAACTTACCAAAACTATAGTTTGTTAACAATACATTTGTGCAGTGGTTGAAAAACGACTTCAACTGTATATATGAAACCAATCAGAGTGGTAGCAGGTCTTAAACATTTTAATGGTGGACTATTTGTGACCGACCGCCTTGATTTGGTCTTATGTAGCAAAATGTGAAATTGTGTTTTTTTACATTGGATAAAAGTACAGACTCAGAGCTAGAAAATGGTATATCATACACTGCAGTTGAGGAGCAATGAGAAAGTAATTCTGCTTTGAAAGGTGATGAACTTGTAACCCCACTTTTGAGAATATGGCCCTTGAATGTTTTGGCACACCTACTGGAGAGCTCTTCTTTGTCTATACCCATTCAGCATTGTTCACACCCTCTTAAGCCCCACCCATCTCTTAAAGGATTCACATGTGAGGCCATGTGGTAAACACACGCTATATCAAATAAAATCGAAGTTTATTTGTCACATGCACAGGATACAGAAGGGGTAAACGGTACAGTGAAGTGGTTACTTGCATAGTAGCAATATCAAAAACAGAAATTGTCCAGAATTAATTTTTTTTTATACATATTTTATCATTATTAGATGACGCTTACCCGACACACTAAATTGATTGGTCATGTGAAGGAAATGCTATAACCACCCCCCAGCCACATTTAGCTAAGTGGATTGGTCACTATTGTCTAGACATGGACAGATGTTCATGAAATATAATAGATGGCCGTAATCACCCCCAGACACACCTAGCTAATTTGATGGGTCATGTAATAATCCAGCCGAAGTGGAGTCTTTTGTTTAGACATGTAGCTAGCTAGGTAAACAATGAACCGGCATAATCCCAACTCATACTACTACCAATACAAACATTGTCATAGCTGTAGTATGAATCTGCAGGTAGCTAACGCTAATAGAACAATGAGACAGATATTTCACCGGATGTATAAATGTGAAGCATCTGCTTGGCGTTTCCACTCACTACCAAATATGGTAGTGAGAGGAAGCCCACTGGCCAGCAGTGGGAGAAGATGGAACGAGATGGAATTTGGCCTACATTCTGCAAATTTTCTCATCAATGAAACATTTGATTTCAATACAGTTTTCTGTTCCCAAAACTAGAATATGTTATGAACAGAGTGGAACATTTTTTGTAGACTTTCCCCTTTGCAAAGGTTTTTAAAAATCGTGTTGTTTAGGAGTGCAAAGGCAAATTGAGTTATTGCACACGCGCACTTCACAGAGTAGGCGTTCCCTAATGGAAATATGCAGATGATGCTAGGACACGCCAATAGGATCTTGCTAGCTCATGCTTGGCTCTGCCCACTATGACATTTGTTCCTATTGCAAACGACAGGCTGTGGTCTATCTTGGTTTAGTTATAAAAATATTTGGTTCAATGTTAGCTAGCTAACATTAGGCTATAACTAGCAATGCAAATGGATTTCTGATTCAAATAATATTACAGATCATACAAGTAACGTTAGCTAGAGAGCCAGCAAGCTAACATTTATCTAGCTAACTAACAGTACGCTTTAATTTGCAATAAAAATGACTTTCTGACAAAATGTGAAACTTATATCTGAAAATGTATCTAGACTCTTACCCGTATACATGGATGAACGCTTCACAGCAGACTGGAACCATTTAACTCCGTTTTGTTTGTAGCTACATCTTGTTTGGCCAGCGTTGTGTCAAGTCACACTGGTTCACACTGACCGTGGTGTGTGCAGAAAGTAGCACATCAATTTTTCCAACTAATCTGTCGATAGTGCCTGCTAAATTCAGGGCATCAATGTTGTGAAAAGTAGCAAAACTTTTGTGGTTCTCGATGGCTAACGTTATATCTTTCAAAAACGGTGCGGTAGAAAGGACTGTCAACACATACTGAGCAGCTCACATTATAAAATATTGTATTGGCACTAACCATACATAGTCAGAGATATATCATAAGCTATCTTGTTGTAATCACAATTATTTTGAGGACCAATGTATCCTTAACTATAACATTTTCAGTAACTGATAATAATACTGTATGCACTGACTGTAAATTGATAAGGACAAGAGCACCCACTAAATGGCCAAAATATGATTGTAAATGTGAAAATGAAAACGTGTAAAGAACACTGGGTAATATGTCGCTGCATGGGTAATTCCAGTAATATACTGTAAAGAATGTGGTACGGTAAAATGGATTACCATAAAATTGATTACAGTAGCTGTACTGTAAAATAAATTACAGTAACTGACTGGACAATTGCTGCCAGTCAGTTACTGTACATTTAACAGGAAATGTTTTACAGTGTGGCCTAGGCAAATGGTGCCCTGTATAAAGGAGAAAGCGTGTAGCTAGTATGAAATGTCACATTCATCTCCATCACTTAGTGCTGTACCCCTCCCCCTCACTGTGAATCCTAGGGACGTGTGAATCAGGCTGTCACCGTGAGGATGCCAGGGCATACAGGACAGGCCAGGTGGAGGAACGCGACACATTAATCATCCATCATGATGTCGCTATATCACTGTTATGTCATCATTTATTACATTACCATACGGATGCCAGGACAGGACAGGACAGGGGCCAAGGCCAGGTGAAGGAACTCAACATGACTCATCCATCATGTTCAATGCAGTTTCTTTGGTGAAGAATACAATCAATACAGGCATACAGGCTGAAATGGTGTTATGATTCACCATGTTCTTGTGAAGGACGAAGCATTGATTTTAAAAACCTCTCGCTCTCTCCTGAATGATTGTGCAGTGACACAGTGTGTGTGCATTCGGAAAGTATTCAGACCCCTTGACTTTTTACACATTTTGTTACGTTACAGCCTTATTCTAAAATTGATTAAATTATTTATTTTTCCTCATCAATCTACAAACAATACCCCATAATGACAAAGCAAAAACAGGTTCTTAGACATTTTTGCAAATGTTCTAAACATATAACTTAAATATCACATTTACATAAGTATTCAGACCCTTTACTCAATACTTTGTTGAAGCATCTTTGGCAGCGATTACAGTCTTGGGTATGACGCTACAAGCTTGGTACACCTGTATTTGGGGAATTTCTGCCATTCTTCTCTGCAGATCCTCTCAAGCTCTGTCAGGTTGGATGGGGAGCGTAGCTGCACAGCTATTTTCAGGTCTCTCCAGAGATGTTCGATCGGGTTCAAGTCCGGGCTCTGGCTGGGTCACTCAAGGACATTCAGAGACTTGTCCAGAAGCCACTCCTGTGTAGTCTTGGCTGTGTGCTTAGGGTCGTTGTCCTGTTGGGAGGTGAACCTTCGCCCCAGTCTGAGGTCCTGAGCACTCTGTAGCAGATTTTCATCAAGGATCTCTCTGTACTTTGCTCCGTTCATCTTTCCATCGATCCTGACTAGTCTCCCAGTCCCTGCCGCTGACTAGTCTCCCCACATCATGATGCTGCCACCACCATGCTTCACCGTAGGGATGGTGCCAGGTTTCCTCCAGACGTGACGCTTGTCATTCAGTCCAAAGAGTTCAATCTTGATTTCGTCAGACCAGAGAATGTTGTTTCTCATGGTCTGAGAGTCCTTTAGGTGCCTTTGGCAAACTCCAAGAGGGCTGTCATGTACCTTTTACTGAGGAGTGGCTTCCTCTGGCCACTCTACCATAAAGGCCTGATTGGTGGAGTGCTGCAAAGATGGTTGTCCTTCTGGACGGTTCTCCCATCTCCACAGAGGAACTCTAGAGCTCTGTCAGAGTGACCATCGGGTTCTTGGTTACCTCCCTGACCAAGGCCCTTCTCCCCGGATTGCTCAATTTGGCCGGGCGGCCAGCTCTAGGAAGAGTCTTGGTGGTTCCAAACTTCTTCCATTTAAGAATGGTGGAGGCCACTGAGTTCATGGGGATCTTCAATGCTGCAGAAATGTTTTGGTACCCTTCCTCAGATCTGTGCCTCAACACAATCCTGTCTCTGAGCTCTATTGACAGTTCCTTCAACCTCATGGCTTGGTTTTTGCTCTGACATGCACTGTCAACTGTGGAACCTTATATAGACAGGTGTGTGCCTTTCCAAATTATGTCCAATCAATTGAATTTACCACAGGTAGACTCCAATCAAGTTGTAGAAACATCTCAAAGATGATCAATGGAAACAGGATGCACCTGAGCTCAATTTCGAGTCTCATAGCAAAGGGTCTGAATACTTATGTAAATAAGGTATTTCTGTTTTTATTTGAATAAATTTGCAAAAATTAAAAAAAAAAACATTTTTCGCTTTGTCATTATGTTGTATTGTTTGTAGATTGATGAGGATTTTTGGAAAAAGGCTATAGCGTAACAAAATGTGGAAAAAGTCAAGGTGTCTGAATACTTTCCGAATGCACTGTACTTCGGTCACTAAATCTAGATCCAGATTATTAATTTTATACCAGACAGTTTCCTCCTCATTCATTCTCATCTCCTACCACTCTTTCATTATTCAACACAGTAATCTCATCTCCTACCACTCTGTCATTATTCAACACCATCATCTCATCTCCTACCACTCTGTCATTATTCAACACAGTAATCTCATCTCCTACCACTCTCTGGTTAATGGCATATTGTGTGTGTGTGTGTGCATTTGTGTGTGTGTGAGAAAGAAAGAAAGAAAGAAAGAAAGAAAGAAAGAAAGAAAGAAAGAAAGAAAGAAAGAAAGAAAGAAAGAAAGAAAGAAAGAAAGAGGAAGACGGAGGGAGAGAGAACATATGCAGTTCACTGAGTCATGTTCCACTAAACGAAATGTCCACTCAGGCGTACAATCTAATATTTTCTCTGATCTCAACATTTCCCAAACAACTTAGTGTATTGTATTGTCCAGATCATTGTGGGGGTGATTCTACTCTACTACCTCCTGGGGATCAGTGCCTTTATCGGGGCCACAGTCATCGCTGTCCTGGCCCCTGTGCAGTACTTTGTGGCTACCAAGCTGTCTCAAGCACAGAAGAGCACTCTGGTAAGTAATATGCTATTTAGCAGACACTTTTATCCAAAGTGACTTACAGCTATGCATGCATACATTCCTAGTCCCAGGAATCAAACCCACTATTCTGGCGTTGGAAGCACCATACTCTACCAACTGAGCTACAGCAGGACCCATCATTAAGCAGTTAGCAGTTTGATAAACAGCGTTCTGTGTGGACTTTGACCTAGCACTGTTCCAAGGAGACCGACCGCACTGCCATCTAACAACCCGTATGTATAGACTGCTCCATGTCTTCCTTGTGGAAGAGATTAGAATAGATGTCATACTGATGAATTATGGTATGTGATCCTTTGACAGTACGCAGGCACGCACACACACACACACACACACGCACACACACACACACACACACACACACACACACACACACACACACACACACACACACACACACACACCTTCAGCTAGAACCCTTGGATAACCTTTGGTATCTTACTAATACTTTTAAAAAGTTGATTGTTATGAACAATGATTATTTTTCAACCATAAGCTGTTAATTAATCACAAAACATGTCTTTGAGCTTTGTTTGCCTCTCTCTCCAATCACTTTGCTCATTCGCATAATGCCATGCTACTGTAATAATGGTAACACTTTACTTGAAACCCAGTGTCATAACACATTATGAAACGTTCATAACCATGTCATAATATGTCATAACAGCTGACATAACTTGTCATAACCTGTCATAATATGGTCCTAACACTGTCACGATGACCGATATATATACACCTGTTGTGACATGTATTGCGTTATTTTATGGCTGGGTATGACACTTACATAAGAGTGTCAAAACCCACATTTATTCAAATACGTTTGAAAGTTTGTTTCTTAAATCTTTGTTGTTGTTGTAATGAATTCTTTACAGTCATGTTTTTTTCATCATATTTTAAATAACTTGTAGAAAATTCATTTTATGACACTGTCATGAAGCATTATGACCATCCTGTGTCACTTTACTTGGACTAAGAAAATGCACTTTATGACACTGTCAAGAAGCATTATGACCATCATAATCATATAAGCCAGATAGGCCTATCATGCCCTTATGTCAGCCATCAGTCAAAAAGAGGGTGTCTTGTCCTGCTGCTAAAATATGTTCCTGCATTCATCCCAGTCATTAGCAACAGAGCATTGGGGTAGGTACATGTCTGACATCAATGTGTGCGCAATTACAATGATAATTTAATATGGTCAATTTAAAAATGTTTTTATATAACATAAACATACTGTTTACAAGTAGGCTATGGTGTAATGGAATGTTTTGCCTTGTGTAGTAGGTTTTGTGGGTTTTTACACTCTTATATAGGTGTCATAACCAGCCATAAAATTACACAATATATGTCACAACCGTTCTAAATATATGTGTCATGACAGTGTTATGACCATATTATAACAGGTTATGACAAGTTATGTCTGCTGTTATGACATATTATGACATGGTCATGACCATGTCATAACCTGTTATGACGCTGGGTGTCACGTAAAGTGTTACTGTAATATAAATGTGTATCCCGCTCGCTTAATTGTCTGAGGTTAAATACTATATCTTTCATGCCAATTATTCTGTTCTGACAGGAGAACAATTACCAGTAATAATTAACAGCTCTCTTCTCTTATTCTTCTTCTCTTATCACGACTACTCTGGTGTAGAATAACCCCTGAGTGGTCATCCTCCTCAACTTGAACCCTGAGTGGTCATCCTCCTTAACTTCAACCCCGAATGGTCAGCCTCCTCAACTTGAACCCCGAGTGGTCATCCTCAACTTGAACCCTGAGTGGTCATCCTCCCCACCTTGAACCCTGAGAGGTCATCCTCCCCAACTTGAACCATGAGTGGTCATCCTCCCCAACTTGAACCTTGAGTGGTCATCCTCCCTAACTTGAACCCTGAGTGGTCATCCTCCCCACCTTGAACCCTGAGAGGTCATCCTCCCCAACTTGAACCCTGAGTGGTCATCCTCCCCAACTTGAACCTTGAGTGGTCATCCTCCCCAACTTGAACACTGAGTGGTCAGCCTCCTCAACTTGAACCCTGAGTGGTCATCCTCCCTAACTTGAACCTTGAGTGGTCATCCTCCCAAACTTGAACCCTGAGTGGTCATCCTCTTCAACTTGAACCCTGAATGGTCATCCTCCTCAACTTGAACCCTGAGTGGTCATCCTTCCCAACCTGAACCCTGATTGGTCATCCTCCCTAACTTGAACCCTGAGTGGTCATCCTCCCTAACTTGAACCCTGATTGGTCATCCTCCCTAACTTGAACCCTGAATGGTCATCCTCCCTAACTTGAACCCTGAGTGGTCATCCTCCCCAACTTGAACCCTGAATGGTCATCCTCCTCAACTTGAACCCTGATTGGTCATCCTCCCCAACTTGAACCCTGAGTGGTCATCCTCCCCAACTTGAACCCTGAGTGGTCATCCTCCCTAACTTGAACCCTGAATGGTCATCCTCCCCAACTTGAACCCTGGATGGTCATCCTCCCCAACTTGAACCCTGAGTGGTCATCCTCCCCAACTTGAACCCTGAATGGTCATCCTCCTCAACTTGAACCCTGATTGGTCATCCTCCCCAACTTGAACCCTGAGTGGTCATCCTCCCAAACTTGAACCCTGGATGGTCATCCTCCCCAACTTGAACCCTGGATGGTCATCATCCTCAACTTCAACCCTGAGTGGTCATCCTCTCCACCTTGAACCCTGAGTGGTCATCCTCCCCAATTTGAACCCTGAGTGGCCATCCTCCCCAATTTGAACCCTGAGTGGCCATCCTCCCCAATTTGAACCCTGAGTTGTCATCCTCTTCAACTTGAACCCTGAGTGGTCATCCTCTTCAACTTGAACCCTGAGTGGTCATCCTCCCCAACTTGAACACTGAGTGGTCATCCTCCTCAACTTGAACCCTGAGTGGTCATCCTCCTCAACTTGAACCCTGAGTGGTCATCCTCCTCAACTTGAACCTGAATGGTCATACGAAAAGGAAAAGGGAAAAACAAAAACCAGAATCTTCCTCAAGTGTCAGAAAAATCTATTACAAAACAAAACCAAAAAGTAATCCTCATTCAATTACAAATCATTCAGATCTACACACAGGAACCTGAGAGGACGGAACTGCTCCGGCCATTAGTCTGGAGTACTCCATGTGTGTATTATCCTATAGGAGTGTATTATGGTATAGGAGTAGTTCATGTTTGTGTGTACTATGGTATAGGAGTAGTTCATGTTTGTGTGTATTCTGTTAAAGGAGTACTCCAGTCATTCAGATGTTTGTGTGTATCATCCTATAGGAGTACTCCAGTGAGCGGTTGAAGAAGACCAATGAGCTGCTGCGGGGCATCAAGCTGCTGAAGCTGTACGCCTGGGAACACATTTTCTGTCACAGTGTGGAGGAGACCAGGGGCAAGGAGCTCATCAGCCTGCAGGCCTTCGCCCTCTACACAACCATATCTAGTAGGTTACCATACCTCAAATACACAGACCTCTACACATCCATATCTAGTTTACCTTACCTCAAATACACAGACCTCTACACATCCATATCTAGTAGGTTACCTTACCTCAAATACACAGACCTCTACAGATCCATATCTAGTAGGTTACGTTACAGACCTCTACAGATCCATATCTAGTAGGTTACGTTACAGACCTCTACAGATCCATATCTAGTAGGTTACATTACAGACCTCTACAGATCCATATCTAGTAGGTTACGTTACCGACCTCTACAGATCCGTATCTAATAGGTTACGTTACAGACCTCTACAGATCCATATCTAGTAGGTTACGTTACAGACCTCTACAGATCCATATCTAGTAGGTTACGTTACAGACCTCTACAGATCCATATCTAGTAGGTTACGTTACAGACCTCTACAGATCCATATCTAGTAGGTTACGTTACAGACCTCTACAGATCCATATCTAGTAGGTTACGTTACAGACCTCTACAGATCCGTATCTAGTAGGTTACGTTACCGACCTCTACAGATCCATATCTAGTAGGTTACGTTACCGACCTCTACAGATCCATATCTACTAGGTTACGTTACCTACCTCTACAGATCCAAATCTAGTACGTTACCTACCTCTACAGATCCATATCTAGTTGGTTACGTTACCTTTGCTTTAACCCTTTCACCAACTAAACACTTTTAATATGCTTAAATTAAATTAAGGACAACCCTCAAATAGGTGATAGACTTTTAGCATGCAATACAAATAATTGTTCAGATCCTCACTAGCCTCTGTGGACAGGCATGTAGCAGACCAAGGGAAGCTGATTCACTCATTGGAGCGGACAATACCCTACAGTACATAACATTTTACCCCTCTCAACTCTGTGTCAGTCCTACTAGAGTTCATAAAATGTATGAACTGTGGTAGTAGTTTCATGTAATGAACTCTATGTTTAATTCTGAGCCTTCTAAGTAATCTTGTCAGTTCCTCCAATTCTGCAATCAGATTTGTTTTTGTAATATGAACAGTTTCCTGCATATTATGCAATGGATTGCAAATTTGACCAATCACCGCATAAAACAGTAATATCACTGCAATATTAACGTATTAAACTGTCCGATCACCGCAGTACATAAGGAAGGCTGACAACTTTAACCAATCTCCACCCTTTTGCTGCAGAAAATGGTTCAATGTGTGTGTGCCTCTCTCAGTGCTGATGCTCTAGCTTAGTCCAAGACAACCACTGCTGTAAGCCATTCAGTTGAGCTGAGTTCCTGGAGAAAGCACTGTCTATAGAGAGAGAGCCTGAGATCCTGGAGAAAGTCACTGTCTATAGAGAGAGAGCCTGAGATCCTGGAGAAAGTCACTGTCTATAGAGAGAGAGCCTGAGATCCTGGAAAAAGACACTGTCTATAGAGAGAGAGCCTGAGATCCTGGAGAAAGACACTGTCTACAGAGAGAGAGCCTGAGATCCTGGAGAAAGTCACTGTCTATAGAGAGAGAGCCTGAGATCCTGGAGAAAGACACTGTCTATAGAGAGAGAGCCTGAGATCCTGGAGAAAGACACTGTCTATAGAGAGAGAGCCTGAGATCCTGGAGAAAGTCACTGTCTATAGAGAGAGAGCCTGAGATCCTGGAGAAAGACACCGTCTATAGAGAGAGAGCCTGAGATACCTGGAGAAAGTCACTGTCTATAGAGAGAGAGCCTGAGATCCTGGGAGAAAGACACTGTCTATAGAGAGAGAGCCTGAGATCCTGGAGAAAGACACTGTCTATAGAGAGGAGGAGCCTGAGATCCTGGAGAAAGCACTGTCTATAGAGAGAGAGCCTGAGATCCTGGAGAAAGTCACTGTCTATAGAGAGAGAGCCTGAGATCCTGGAGAAAGTACACTGTCTATAGAGAGAGAGCCTGAGATCCTGGAGAAGTCACTGTCCTATAGAGAGAAGCCTGAGATCATGGAGAAAGACACTGTCTATAGAGAGGGAGCCTGAGATCCTGGAGAAAGACACTGTCTATAGAGAGGGAGCCTGAGATCCTGGAGAAAGACACTGTCTATAGAGAGAGAGCCTGAGATCCTGGAGAAAGTCACTGTCTATAGAGAGAGAGCCTGAGATCCTGGAGAAAGTCACTGTCTATAGAGAGAGAGCCTGAGATCCTGGAGAAAGACACTGTCTATAGAGAGAGAGTCCTGAGATCCTGGAAGAAAGACACTGTCTATAGAGAGAGAGCCTGAGATCCTGGAGAAAGACACTGTCTATAGAGAGAGAGCCTGAGATCCTGGAAAAAGACACTGTCTATAGAGAGAGAGCCTGAGATCCTGGAGAAAGACACTGTCTACAGAGAGAGAGACTGAGATCCTGGAGAAAGACACTGTCTATAGAGAGAGAGCCTGAGATCCTGGAGAAAGACACTGTCTATAGAGAGAGAGCCTGAGATCCTGGAGAAAGACACTGTCTATAGAGAGAGAGCCTGAGATCCTGGAGAAAGACACTGTCTATAGAGAGAGAGCCTGAGATCCTGGAGAAAGACACTGTCTATAGAGAGAGAGCCTGAGATCCTGGAGAAAGACACTGTCTATAGAGAGAGAGCCTGAGATCCTGGAGAAAGACACTGTCTATAGAGAGAGAGCCTGAGATCCTGGAGAAAGACACTATCTGAACCATACTGTCACGTGTCTAATGGTGCCTATGTGTCTCCTCGTTCTCAGTATTCATGAACGCAGCCATCCCTATCGCAGCTGTCCTGACTGTGAGTATTCATTCCAGTCATAAACGCCTGTTCATATCTCATAGGTGCCATCCATAATACTGTCTACAGCCCTGGCCCAAATATCTGTCCTCCCTCACATTATTCACCATAGAACAGCATGTTCTGACCACAGTTCCCCCTCTAAAAATATTGTGTTTACTGTCCACTGGTCTGTGTATTGTTCTCAGTGGATGGGCGATCCCTTTTCCCAAGTAAAGGGCACAGACTAGAACAGACTAGAGTGGTGTCACTCAGGATCCAGTCAGTCTGGCATGTTGACACTATAAAGGATGGCCAGTGACATTTCCCAGGGACACCGTGGAGGTTTGTGACATGGCAGGCCACTGTAAATCCCAGTTATATTTATGGTAGCTGGAGCCGTCAAGACAGTTGTTGGTGTGGTGACAAATCCAGTATGGCAGACAGACAGACAGACAGACAGATAGACAGGCAGGCAGGCAGGCAGGCAGGCAGGCAGGCAGGCAGGCAGGCAGGCAGGCAGGCAGGCAGGCAGGCAGGCAGGCAGGTAGGCAGGCAGACAGACAGACAGGCAGACAGGCACACAGACAGACAGACAGACAGACACGCAGACAGACAAACACGCAGGCAAACAGACAGACAGACAGACAGACAGGCAGGCATACAGAACATAAGGAGAGGTCCTTGAATGAGTGAAATGTATTTTGGAAAGATACTGAGTGATGGGTTTATCCCTCACCCTTTGGAACACAAATTAAATAGAGATAGAGAGATAGAGAGAGAGAAAGGATGAACTGATGTCCTTGTGGATGAGTGATGTGTGTTTTGGAGACAGTGATTTGCTTATCATTGTTAAGCCCTGAAATGGAAATTCTCAAATTCATCACAAACTAAATAGATGGTAAAAGCATTTGCATAAATCAGTTGTAAGTGCTTGTCTTTCTGAGGGATATTTATTATTCAGGGCCAAATCCTGTATTGGAAGATATATAGCACACATTTCCCATTGACATCAATGCATGTTTATGTAAAAGTTTGAGTTGCTAACTTACATTTTGAATCAGGATTCAGACCTCACCCCTGGTATACTGTATATGCTCACCCCTGGTATACTGTATATGCTCACCCCTGGTATACTGTATATGCTCACCCCTGGTATACTGTATATGCTCACCCCTGGTATACTGTATATGCTCACCTTGGTATACTGTATATGCTCACCCCTGGTATACTGTATATGCTCACCCCTGGTATACTGTATATGCTCACCCCTGGTATACTGTATATGCTCACCCCTGGTATACTGTATATGCTCACCCATGGTATACTGTATATGCTCACCCCTGGTATACTGTATATGCTCACCCCTGGTATACTGTATATGCTCACCCCTGGTATACTGTATATGCTCACCCCTGGTATACTGTATATGCTCACCCCTGGTATACTGTATATGCTCACCCATGGTATACTGTATATGCTCACCCCTGGTATACTGTATATGCTCACCCCTGGTATACTGTATATGCTCACCCCTGGTATACTGTATATGCTCACCCCTGGTATACTGTATATGCTCACCCCTGGTATACTGTATATGCTCACCCCTGGTATATTGTATATGCTCACCCATGGTATACTGTATATGCTCACCCCTGGTATACTGTATATGCTCACCCCTGGTATACTGTATATGCTCACCCCTGGTATACTGTATATGCTCACCCCTGGTATATTGTATATGCTCACCCCTGGTATACTGTATATGCTCACCCCTGGTATACTGTATATGCTGGTTACTGGAGTGATACTAATTGTTTTCTCTCCTCTCATCTTCCTCTAGACGTTTGTGGTCCATGTGCACATCTCTGAGGAGGCTGACCTGTCCCCTGCTGTAGCCTTCGCCTCCTTGTCCCTGTTCCACATCCTGGTCACTCCCCTCTTCCTGCTCTCCAGCGTGGTACGATCCACAGTCAAGGCCCTGGTCAGGTGAGCTGGGGTATCATGGACACCAGACCTGGGAAAACTATAGTTTTAACTATGCTTTGTGGAAATAAATAAAATATCCAGGGGAACAAATAGTTACTTTCGAGGTGACTACAACAATTTAAATACAGATCCTCAAAAATTACTACTTTTTAAAACTATTTAAATACCAATCCCCAAAAATGGCTACTTTTTTAAACTATTTAAATACAGCTCCCCAAAAATGAATACTTTTAAAACTATTTTAATACAGATCTCCAAAAATGACTACTTTTTTAAAAAGTATTTAAATACAGATCCCCCAAAAGGACTACTTTTTAAAACTATTTAAATACAGATCCCCCAAAATTACAATTGTTCAATACAGATCTGAGAAAACAACTACTTTTTTTTTTTTTTTTTACTATTTGAATACAGATCTCAGGAGGTGACTACTTTTGGATTGGCTGCCTTCAACTAATGGCAGGGCTGTATCTGGAACTGCATGTTGCAGATAGAAATATAATGAATAGAGAACACACAATCTCCTATTGTATTCCATCTGACAGTCATATTTGATCTACACAATACATTTCTATCTGAACATTTTGTAAATGTCCATTCTCCTGAATGTCCATTGCCCCATGTGTACATAATCAAGTCAAATCAATTAACCAATTATATTTTGTACAGATAAGTATAAATAAGTTGACGCTCAACTACTGTATGACTCAACATGCCACTGAAAAGTTCAAAAGCTGCAATTCATTTTATAATACCTGAAAATACTGCAGAGAAATTCAAAGCCATTTGCAAACATTGCAAACAGCAAGTTGGATGCTTAGCAAAAACAACGTTGAACCTATTTATCCATCTGAGGGTAAGTGTTATTGTTTCAAACACACACTATACCATCTTTCAAGAGAGTTTACTCAGAATACAAAACTAACATTATGTTCAACCTACCTTGGCTGTAGTTGATTCAAGAAGGCAGTTTTGTGATATGTAGTTTCCTTTCGACCCTTAAAATACCTATTTTGTTACTGTTAGCATGCTCAGTAACACTTCATATTAAACTGTTCTTGTTCCTGTGTAATAAAATTGTAATTACATTTGGAGCAATTTTATTAACATGTTGTTACATTGCATTTTAATTTCATAGCAATGAGCTGAGAGGTTTTGTAACTACTGTACACAGGAGGAATAGTGACTGTTCCTTATTCCACTTATGTAATAACTCCCTTATTATGCAATTATAAAGCAATTTCCAAGGCCCTATGTTACAACAATGTTGCTATGTAATAATCACAAAGTTACTAAACATGTTAAAGAACTTGATGTAAACTACAAAATACAACTATTTTCTGTCAAGATCTGATGGACACACACACACACAGTCACATGCACACATGCACACACAGCTCTGTTTTCGTGAATTTTCAGGACATTTTGGGGAGTACAAATGTATTCCCATTCAAAATCCTATTTTCCCTAAACCTAACCCTAACCTTAACCCAGATCCTAACCTTAACCCTAACCCTAACCCCAAACCTTAAACCTAACCCTTAACCCTAAAATAGCATTTCAGGACATTCTGGTGACTTGTCAGGACACACACACACACACACACACACTGAGCTGAATTGAACTGAGTAGTGGTGATCAATTAAGTTGAGATATGGTGAATTTACGTCAAATCTACCAGAATAATGTTTTTAACTTAGGTGAAACTAAATTGAAGTCAGAGTGAATCAATCTAGATTTTTTCCGCGGTGCCCCAGTCACTAAAACACCTGTCTGTTTCCCTCAGTAACATTGACTTCTACACTGGGGATTTGTTTAACTGCTGTAATTTATTATGTTGTCATAGAGCTACCCATTTACCAATTCCTCACAGACCATTACCCATCCTGTCATACAGTTCATACAGGGTAGTGCGTACGGCCCAGTACATCACTGGGGCCAAGCTTCCTGCCATCCAGGACCTCTATACCAGGCGATGTCAGAGGAAGGCCCTAATAATTGTCAAAGACTCCAGCCTCCCTAGTCATAGACTGTTCTCTCTGCTACCGCACGGCAAGCAGGACCGGAGCGCCAAGTCTAGGTCCAAAAGGCTTCTTAACAGCTTCTACCCCCCCCCCCCCCCCCCCCCATATATGTGTTCCAGAAGCAGCAGCTTTGACCACTGGACCACACTTTGGCCACCCAGCCTGTCAGTCAACCACTGCTTTCATATTTGTTTACCATCATCTATGTATAAGTAAGTGCTTTAGATATGGTATATTGGCCTTCTGTAAGTAGAAGAGCTGTACATCATGTATGCAGAGTGTTGTATCTCCAAGGAGAGGGGCATCATTACCATGTTACAGTCATCCAGAGTGGAGCGATTGCGTCTGGGTTTTCTCTGCATCCTGAGAGGATGTATTGATGTCTCATAACAATCAATGGTGTGGATCTGATCTCTGAACATGGAGCCAGTATGTGTATCATATAGCTGTCGAGCCAATGAGGAAGAAGTTGTCAATCTACATCCCATTTATATCCCACTTAAACCACTACTTCCTTACTCAATGACACACAAGTAATTACATCTATAATCGCCTGTACCATGCTTGACTGTGATTGTTTTTAGTGTTTCAAAACTCAATTTGAGTGGTCCACAATGTGCTTTAAAATAATCTGTATTGTGTATTATTGTATCATTGTGGAGTGTCACTTAAATACAGTTTTCTAACTAACTCTAACACGATGACTTGTGCTGAGTCACAGCCATAGAGACCCTATCTTTATTAATGGTGACAGCAGGTTGAATGTAATGCTGTATCTCAGGGGTAATCTAAGTCCATCGTTCCATTTACGGTCAAGAGGTCCTGATGATCCCTGTAACAGCCTGGCATAAACATGACATTTAATGGTACCATCTGCTCACTGCCATTCTGCAGTATAGCTGGAACATGCTGCTGTTCTGCTCTACTGCATTGGCTTTGGACACTCGCACACGATCAGTCCTCACAATTAATTTAGAATGCTCAAGGATAGAATGTAAAGAAAAGGAGTCTTGCGTAACAGGATCGAAGTCAATAACTCCTGTATCCTGGCATTTGAGTAAAGCTGAAGTGAAGTCTGACAATTCTGACTTGAACTGGCTTTGAAGCTTTGATAAGTCGTTGACAGCCCCAGTGAGTGTAGAACATTTGTTTCATTCTGGAGTACAGAGAGAGGGAGCGAGAGAGAGAGAAAGGGGGGAGAGAGAGAGAGGGGAGAGAGAGGGGGGAGATAGGAGGGGGGAGAGAGAGAGGGGGAGAGAGAGGGGGGAGAGAGAGAGGGGGAGAGAGAGAGGGGGAGAGAGAAGGGAGAGAGAGAGAGGGGAGAGAGAGAGAGGGGAGAGAGAGGTGGGAGAGAGAGAGGGGGGAGAGAGAGAGGGGAGAGAGGGGGAGAGAGAGAGGGGAGAGAGAGGGGGGAGAGAGAGAGGGGGGAGGGAGAGAAAGAGGTGGAGAGAGAGGGGGGAGAGAGAGGTGGGAGAGAGAGAGAGGGGAGAGAGAGAGGGAGAGAGAGAGAGAGAGGGGAGAGAGAGAGGGGAGTGAGAGGGGAGAGAGGTAGATTTTGTTTAGGTGTGCAGTCATGTTTGTACTTAGGACTTCTACTAATCATATTCACACCTTTATGCGCTAGTTGATTCCAGATGTTCTGAAGCTGGAGCAGGTAGATGACGGTGATAAGATGGCTGAGTCTAGTTTGACCCAGAAAAAGGCACATATAAAAACAGAATACTTTATCACTGTTGACTTTGGAGACTTGCCTTACGAAATTAAACCAATCACCTTTTCACTCCTCCGTCATTTTTGCCTACTTCTATCAGATGTACAGTCCAATGAGACTTACCTGGGACTTTTACTTTGAAAACCCTCTTGCTGTATTGTTCCCTATCCCATCTCCAATAAGGAAACTTTTCCTTATTGTAACTCACTCTGGAGAACAGCATCTGCTAATACTAGAATGTGAAAATATGAAATGTATCTGTGGTGTCCCCCTGTGACACTAACCCTGTAACCCTAACCCCTGTTTCCTATAACCCTAACCCCTGTTTCCTATAACCCTAACCCCCGTGTCCTCATAGCGCCCAGAAGCTGAGTGAGTTCTTCAGTAGTGATGAGATTGGAGAAGAGCAGGAACCCAATGCTACCATGCTCTCCGGCCCCAGCAACCACAACAGCAAGTACCAGGCAGTGGTGAGTACCCAGCTATCACATAACGTTCTGAGAACCTTATGTTTCTTAGAGCTTGGTGAGAGCGTGGTTGTCCTATGGTGATTTAGCATACAAACTTCCTAAACGTTTCTGGGAATGGTGCAGGATAGTTGCTTGGTTTTGGAACATTCTCAGCACATTTAAGGAACTTTAACAGAATGTTTCCTAAAAGTTCAAACATGGTTACATTTATACTGAACAAAAATATAAACACAACATGTAAAGTGTTGGTCCCATGTTTCATGAGCTGAAATAAAAGCTCCCAGAAATGTTCCATATGCACAAAAAGCTTACTTCTCTCAAATGTTGTGCACACATTTGTTTTCATCCCTGTTAGTGAGCATTTCTATTTTGCCAAGATAATACATCCACCTGACAGGTGAGGCATATCAAGAAGCTGATTAAACAGCATGATCATTACACAGGTGCAACTTGTGCTGGGGACAATAAAAGGCCACTCTAAAATGTGCAGTTTTGTCACACAACACAATGCCACAGATGTGTCAAGTTTTTAGGGAGCATGCAATTGGCATGCTGACTGCAGGAATGTCCACCAGAGCTGTTGCCAGAGAATTTAATGTTAATTTCTATACCATAAGCTGCCTCTCCAACGTCGTTTTAGAGAATTTGGCAGTACGTCTAACCGGCCTCATAACCGCAGACCATGTGTAACCACGCCAGCCCAGGACCTCCACGTTCAGCTTCTTCCTCTGCGGGATCGTCTGAGACCAGCCACCCGGATAGCTGATGAAACTGTGGGTTTGCTCAACCGAAGAATTTA